CATGGCAGTGTGGTGGAATATATATATATGGATAATTACATGGAGATCACACGAAACATTGATATTTATAAATTAAGCGTCTACGTGATTTTCATGAACTATCGAAACACTGGACTACTGAGAGTTTGGTCAAAATGAAAGATAGGGGTTGGGGTTTTACCGTGAATTTTGATATTTGAGTGAGAATTTGAAAAATAGATGAAAGAGGGCGGTTGGATTTGTAAATAGGAAGTTTCGGGCGGTCTTATATGTAAAATATGAAGTGGAATTTGGTAGATTGGATCACTTTGCTTGTGATCAAAGAGAGTTTTTCAAATAAACTTTTTTTGGTTAGTAAAATGATGTTAGGTGGTGAGTTGTGTAATGAAATAGAGCTCACAACAATAATATGAATTGGAAAAGACACCCCAACCTCTCTACCAACAAGAATAGAGCAATTATATGTACTATTTAGTAGGTGGATTATATCACATTTATGGTATAAATTAAATTAAAAAGTCTTTGCACCTAACATTTTATATATTATAAGTTGGTAATTTGCATGAATGACTTTTTTCCATTCTATGAGTTTAATAGAACGGGGGTTTGATTTTAATTTTATGATAGGTTTTTCACGTAAAAATTTTGGTGTCATTTACACTGGATTCAACAATTTGGGTATTTACGTGCAGGATTTTCGTGTAAAACTTGAATCTTGAAGCCCCACTTTTTATATGTGAATTTTCATGAAAGCAACATGTACGAAAGTTGGGTTGTTTCCATATATTGCGCCCTCTTTCTTTCATTTTTTTATCAGATTCTCAATGATTTGATCATGACACGCGTAAATACATTAGTTATGCAGTTTAAAGACATCACCTGGCTACTAGATTTTGTAAATAGTAATGTTTTGGGTGCTAGTATGTAATTATCCCACAAAAATAATGACTTATTTGAGTGAAAACAAGTAACATTTGGACATAAATATAGTATGAAACTTTGAAGCCATGCAATATTAGAAAGATTTACATACATATCACTTAATTCCAATGTATTTACAAACTAACTATAAGCTTCAACTTTTACATTATTGTCACTTTAACTATACATGAAAATGTTTATTTCACTTTTTTTAAGTTAAAATGATCGTATTTTTGATATGATACGAAAGATTTGAGCAGTATTAACGTGTGTGTGTATATACGTAGGATAGGAATGGGGTGGTATTATGTAAATGCCCCATATTAATATTGTTGCAAAAATAACCTGAGAGCTATGAGGAATGGAGGAAGAACGGCCCCAACGCTCTGGATCCCATAGAATTGAGCTGTTGAATGCAAAACCTGAAATGTTGATCTTTGCATGTGGTCTGCTCTCTACAGTTCCATTGCCTGATTCTGAGCTAACATTTATGTGTTTTGTTGACTGTAAAGTTCTATTTTTGTTTATGAGCTCCTTCGATTGCCATCCGACAACCCTCGAAGAATTGCAAATCGGTCCTTCGACGATCATCTTCTTCCTGCTCGCAGATGCCCTCGCAACCGGCCATGCCCCAAAAACCCTAAAATTTTCATTTAATTATTAGCAAACAATTAGAAATTAGAAATGAGATGACCATCAAAAAGCCACATTTAGGACTCTTAACGATCTGATTTTGAGCCGAGATAGGGTCGGCTTAAAATGGGGTTGATTAGACTCAGTGCAGCTCGAGATCGGCTCGTGACTTATTATATTTGATTTCAAGCAGAGCCGGCTCGAAATTGAGTTGAGCTCGATTCACCTCGAAATCGAAACGGGATTGCTCAAATTGAGTTATTTGGACCCGTTCCAGTAGTTTGAAATCGGCTCGTTACTCATTATATTCAATCTTACTTAGTATTATATATATAATTTTTATAAGTAAAAAAATACTACGAGTTAGTTCTAGCCGATCAATATATCACTTTAAAAATATTAGCTGCTCAGCTCATTTAGTTCTATCCGAGCCAAAATTTGAATCGACTTTCGAGCGATTGACGATGTTCGAGCTAAAATCATAGCTCAAACCACATTATAATTGGCTGAAAGTGAGGTTAGGTAATTCATGTTGTTTTATTCTTCTATGATAGGTGGATGCGTGTGGACATAAAAAAGGAAGAAGTTGGTGCCATTATCATTGATTCAGTCACTAAAAAAATTGAATTTTATCAATCATTCATGGTTGTTAACCAGTCACAGTAGTTGCAGATTGCAAGGTTTCTAAGCAAAAATAAAAGATTGTCCTATAAATTTTATCTGAAATCACCAAATTTTGATCGAAAAACGGTAAAAATATTACGCGCGAACAAAAGATTAGGTACAAATTGATGGTATTAGAGTGATATTGGGATGATATTGTCATGAACATATGAATTAGAATCAATCAATCTTACTCTATTTGTCGGATCTGCTCGAAGAAATGGAGAGGATAGATGTCGAGAAGACTTGCAAAGAGCACAATTCCATCCAACCGGTGCTGTTCGACATGGTTGAGGGCTACATTTCTTTGATGGTAGGCTTCAGCATTAGCATCAGTGAAGTTCTCCTTATAGGTGATGTGGCGGTACATGATTCCGGTCTGCCGGAGCATCCTCGTCGTTGCCGGAGAATCGAAATTGGCCTCCACGACAATCCATAGGAGAGGCGGCGGCACCAGCCTGAGAGTGTTGGCTAATCTCCACAAAGAAGGTAGTTTGAATGGGTCTGTGGGTTGGGTGGTGGTTATGATTATTAGATGTTGGTTGAGGGCGAGCTCTTGGTGGTTTTCATGGCAGTGTGGTGGAGCTGAGTGAGAGGGTTTGGGATGGAGTTGTAGGAGGAGGGTTCGGTTAATGGATTCCATCTTGAGATCGGAGACGCCGAGGTTTCGGATGTCGGCGGCGGAGGGATGGGTGGAGAAGATAGAGATGGTGGCGGTCGTCGGGGCGAAGCCGATGAAGAAGCCCATGATGAAGCAGAGGGAGAAGTGGATGAGGACCTTCTTCCATGCATGGGTTTTTTTTCTGGGTTTATCAGAGGAGTTTACCATCAAGATTCTCTTTTGTAGTGGTTCTATGGAGGGGGGAGGAGAGGGGAAGGGGTTGGAATGAGTTGGGATGGAGAAGGTGGTGGATTCAAAAAGGAAGGGAGGTCAGGACCCGAGTAAGTCGGGGGTTTCAGATTTTTACTTATATTAGAGAGTAATTTAGTCTTTTGTCTCTCCTAAAGTATTAATTTAATCTCTTCTGAAATGTTATTTTGCTCCTCTCAAAAAAGAAATTGATTCCACCCCCTTTGGATTTGGAGAATGGGCTAAATGCTTCTCCTCTCTTGAAGCTAAAGAAAGAGAGGATGGTGGTTAAGAGAGATTTATGATGGTTTGGAGGGGAAGCTAACGTCTAGTGACAGTGGCTTGAAATATAAATCTAATATATATATATATATATATTATTGATTGAAGGATGGCCGGAGGTTATGATTCGAGCCTCGGCCCTCATGATAACTGATAAGTAGATGCTCGATCAACTGATCTGAATACACACGACAAACCTAACCACAAAATTATGGACCAAACTCTGGATTAGTCAATGTTCTTTATACACTTGCCATAGAGCAAGAAATAAGATTGTTCCTATTTGACACAATACAATTCTATATATATATATATATATATATACTGATCTCTGTCATGGAATTTCTTCTTCCTATGGTCCCTATAATGCTTTCACTGATCACAAAGTAATTCCCCACTGTATATGCAGATGCTGCATCATGACCGTTGAGCAATCAGAAGGGATGGCTCTGATCTCAGTCTCATCCTGCAGCACTGCTTGATGGACGAACCAGATTCAATCCAGAAATCATGATAAAAAAATTATTTTTTAAGTATAATTAAAAATAAAAAATTCAGTAGTGCGCCACCATGCAAACTTGCACCCCCACTACGTACCTACCAACTGCTTTTATATGTGGGGGATATTTACATCCCCCTTGCATGATATATATATATATATATATGTATATATGTGGAATTTGGTAGATTGGATTACTTGTGATGGAAGAAAGTTTATCAAAAAGACCTTTTTTTGGTAAATAAGAAAATAGTAGGTGGTGAGTTGTGTAATAAGATAGATTGGAAAAGACACACCAACCTCCCTTCCAAGAAGAGAAGGGCAATGATGCAAATCATGCTGTTCTTCTTAGATTTATGGTATAAATTAAATAAAAAAAGTCTTTGCACCTAACATTTTATATATTACAAGTTGGTAATATGCATGAATGCCTTTTGCTATTCTATGAGTTTAATAGAGCAGTGGTTTAGGAGAAAAATTTGACATTTGCGTGTGTAAACGTAGCGCTGCGTACGTCCGAGAGGTTATTCAAAGGGTATTTGGGGGTTATATCTGCGTTATACCCCCTGTAACCTCCTTTTATCCGGTATAGGTGGGTTACCGAGAGGTTAAATAGGGTATGACGCAGATATAACCCCCATTACTCTCTGAATAACCTCTCAGACATACGCAGCGCTGTGTACTTACATACGCAAATTTTTCTCGTGGTTTAGTTTTCTTTTTATGACATTTTTTTTTGTTAATTTTCGAGATGAATGTTGAAATGAGAATATAAATTGTAAAAAGGGTTAAAATTATAATTTTGCAGATGATATTGTATGAATGTGAGTGTTTTGTCTATGAACAATTAATTAATACATATGTTTAATGTAATAAGATAGCAATATGTTAAAATATATGTGTGACAAAGTTATATATATATATGAGATATATACTTTAAAAATATTATAGGCATGGTTTCGTAAAATTATAGGTTTGATATGTTAAAATATTTGTAGAATCAGCTCATGTTCGGAGATGTAGGAGGATTTTCTTGGTCACTCCTATTTTTAAGCCCTCCCAAATCTATATCATATTATTATTATTGATATGCCACCAACAAATTCTGATCATCCGACATTAATCTTGAGGCATGAAACTGGTCTCAAGACAAGCTTTTGAGCAAAAAATATTTAAATCTTGATAAAAAGTCATCTAAAGCTTTCATTTCAGCAAACAACCAAACTGAACTGCTTGATGACACATAACCATTGACACCAGAATTGGTCCAATCCGAGTCAAATCAAGCACCAATGAAGATATTAAACCATGTTTGGGAGTTTTTGGGACATATTTGAATGATCAAATAATTGTCAAATGCAGTGATTTTATAGTCAAATTGAGAGTTTTGACAAGATGAATCCAGCGAGCTCAAGATTGATCAATTCTGACATTGTTAAGACACTCAAATGTCCATCAAATACTGTTTGATTGCAGGAAGTTTAAAGCTTTGAGAATGAGGTAAATCCCAACATCATTCCTACCACCATCGATCGCCGTTGACTACCGTTGACCGTCATCAATCATCGTCAACCATCGTCGACCACCGTCAACCACCACCAACCGGCCTCCACCGATCGCAATCGAATGTCACCCACCTCTTACAACAAGTTCATTCACACGTCGACGTTGTAATTTGGAAGACTTTGTAACCCATTGTTCCAGCTGTGGAACAAGGAGTCTCTATAATCATCAACTTATAGTGAATTTTTACAACTGGGTCTGACATCGTGATTTGTTACCCTTTATGAGTTTTCCACATAAAAACGTCTGGTGTCATTACTGATTGTTTTCTTTTATCCAAACATGTGCTAAATTCTCGTGCAATGCTAAGACGATAATCCATTACTCTATCACCCCCAAAGTTTCTAGCACACATCAATTATTATTTTTATTTGATAGTTTGTGCCCATATGTAAAAGATATCAATAACACAACATTATTTAGGAAAAGAAAATTTCACTACAAATGAGAAAAGGGATGATGCCTCTTAACCTTAAACATCTTCATTGCATATATATCAAATACAATAAAATTCGCATGCAATTATTCCGAATTGAGTGGTAGGTATGCAATCAAGTTGCCCTTTTTAATTTTTACATAAATACCTTAATTGAATACCTAAACAATTCTTACATATTTACATATCTAGCACCTGAACTTGAATTCTTACATATCTACCACCTTTTCTGTGTATAAAAAGGGAAAAAAATGTTACGTCAAGACTCCGAACGTAGAGCTAAGTTCGAATTGCAATAGTCGTTGTGTTTAGGGGTGTAAACGAACCGAACACGAACGAACAAAGCTAGTGTTCGTGTTTGATTCGTTTGAAATTTAGTTTGTTTGAAATAAGCTCGTGTTTGAATTTATTCGTGAAGTCATTGTTCGTGTTCGTTTCTTAACGAACGAGCCGAACACGAGCTGTTCGCAAACGACGAGCCAGTTTGACATCCCTAATATTAATATAAGTATATTACTATTATTATTTTATTATATATTATAATTTATAAAATTTAATTTTTTTAAAATATCATAAATTTATTTTTGTATAATTATTTTAAATTATTTTATATTTTAAACAATAACTATTCGAACACGAACGAACGCATCACTGTTCGTGTTTGTTTCGTTTAACTAACTGAACGAAAAAAAAATTTGTTCACGTTCGTCTCGTTTACTTATCAAACGAACCGACGAATCATTTACTTATCGAACGAATCAAACACGAACTCATTGATGAACCGAACACGAACTGTTCACGAACAACGAGCTTTTTTGACAGCCATAGCTGTGTTATAGGAATATCCCGCTGTGTTATAAGAATATTTTACCAGCTTATTTGTGGAAAATGAAGTGTTATAGGAATATCCCGCTGTGTTATAGGAATATTCCACAACGTTATTTGTGAAAAATGAAGTGTTAATGGAAGATTATCCCGCGTTACTTGATTTGGGGCTGTGTTATTCCAATAATATTTTAGAAGAGCAAATAACAGTGGAAATTGAAATAACACGGGGAATATGCCGAATAACACATCCTCAAATCAAGTAACGAAGGTGAATATTCCAATAACACCGCAAAGTAATCGAATAACACCGCATAATACTCGAATAACACTTCATTTTTTACAAATAACACTGATGGAGTATTCCTGTAACACAACCGGAGATTCTAATAACACATCTACTATTAGAGTCCGAACGTACCTCTACGTTTAGAGTCCTGACGTAATATGCGCTCAAGAAAAAACATGTTTCACTTTTTAATAGTTAAGATAGTGGTATTTTTTTATGTGATATGAGTGATTTGGTTGGTAAAAATGTAAGAAAATAAAGTTTAGGTGTTAGATATGTAAATACATAGGAATTTGGAGGTACCTAATATTTTGATTACACATTCAACGTGATTGTTAATATGATATTCAAATTTAGTTCTATATTAAACTTAGTTTATAACTTAATCATAAACTATGTGATTTATTTTACTTATTATGAAAGGAACTTATAATGTAATGCTAGCTATAATCAAATTCACCTTAAAGCCGAATTCGAGTCGAGTTGGGGCTGGCTTGAAATTGGCTCAAATGGATTGAGTTCGGATCAAAATCAGCTCGTGGCTCTTCATGTTCAATTTCGAGCTGACCCGGCTTCAATTCGAAAAGAACTGACTCAAATTTGAGTTATTTGAATCTAGTCCGGCTCGAAATCAGCTCTATCTGGCTCAAAATAGAAATAAAATGGCTCAAATTAAGTTATTTGGATCCGTACCTGCTTGTAATAGGCTAGGAGCTTTTTATATTTTATTTATTTAGAATTATATATAATTTTTATAAATAACAAAATTTTGAATCAATCTCGAGCCAGTTTATCGGCTCGAAAAAAATTCGATCCAAAATTTTGGGCTCGAAGATTGGCTCACTTATTCCGATACGAGCTAAAATTCGAATCAAATGTATGCTTATTGAGATTGCCCGATAAGATTTGATTTGTGGTTGATGCGGCGGTTTGAATGATATAGGTTGAGTAGCTGAGAATATTAGAGAGAGATAAGTTATATTGGCTACTTGTAGTGATAAATCTTAATTGGTTACTTTAATATCGACTATATGTATGGTGAAACTGTGCATGTGCTGATCCTGAGTGATACAGAAGATGCCCAAAAGAGAAGAGTAAGACAAATGATGACCCACTTATCTAACCGAGTGC